TATTTCCCCCAGTAGAGTGTCAGTCCACTGTTTCCTGGTATTTCCCCCAGTAGAGTGTCAGTCCACTGTTTCCTGGTATTTCCCCCAGTAGAGTGTCAGTCCACTGTTTCCTGGTATTTCCCCCAGTAGAGAGTCAGTCCACTGTTTCCTGGTATTTCCCCCAGTAGAGTGTCAGTCCACTGTTTCCTGGTATTTCCCCCAGTAGAGAGTCAGTCCACTGTTTCCTGGTATTTCCCCCAGTAGAGTGTCAGTCCACTGTTTCCTGGTATTTCCCCCAGTAGAGTGTCAGTCCACTGTTTCCTGGTATTTCCCCCAGTAGAGAGTCAGTCCACTGTTTCCTGGTATTTCTCCCAGTAGAGAGTCAGTCCACTGTTTCCTGATTTCCCCCAGTAGAGAGTCAGTCCACTGTTTCCTGGTATTTCCCCCAGTAGAGAGTCAGTCCACTGTTTCCTGGTATTTCCCCCAGTAGAGAGTCAGTCCACTGTTTCCTGGTATTTCCCCCAGTAGAGAGTCGGTCCACTGTATCCTGGTGCATCCTGCCTGCATATTCTACCTCCTAGTCAGGACAGGACAGGAGGCATTAAAACACAGAGCTTTGAACAGAGAACGAGGGTCCCACTGCGTCCCAAATGGCACCCTATTCCCTATATAGTGCACTACTTCTGGTCAAAAGGGTGCTATTTGGGACGCAGTTTGGGACGCAGCCCGACAGACTCCCTGCCTCCGTGTCCATGTGTTGTTAAGGGTCAGGGGGAGCTGAGAGCTGGGAGCGAGGGATATACTCTGACTGGGTGTCCTTCCTCCTCTGTACGCTGTCCCTGAGAGGAATGACAGGAAGGGAATGGCCTCACCTGCTTTAGCTGCTAGACAGGACAGACAGATCAGGACAGGACAGATCAGGGTATAACAGGACAGGACAGATCAGGACAGGACAGATCAGGACAGGACAGATCAGGACAGGACAGAACAGGGTATAACAGGACAGGACAGAAGAGGACCGATCAAGGCACAACAGAACTGGACTGGACGAGACAGAGCAGGATGGAACAGATCAGAACATGACAGATCAGAACAGGACAGATCGGACAGGACAGGACAGAAGGACAGGGCAGGACAGGACAGGACAGGACAGATCAGAACAGGACAGAATCAGGACAGGACAGATCAGAACAGGACAGAACAGAACATGACAGATCAGAACAGGACAGATCAGGACAGGACAGATCAGGACAGGACAGACAGGACGGATCAGGATAAGGACAGGACAGGACAGAACAGGACAGGACAGGACAGGACAGATCAGAACAGGACAGATCAGAACAGGACAGATCAGAACAGGACAGGACAGGACAGGACAGGACAGATCAGGACAGGACAGGACAGGACAGGACAGATCAGGAAGGACAGACAGGACAGGAAAGACAGGACCAGGACAGGACAGACAGAGTCAGAGGACAGGACAGGACAGGAACCCAGGCCCCACAGGGACACGGGACATGACCAGGACAGGACAGGACAGGACAGGACAGATCAGGACAGGACAGGACAGGACAGGACAGCCAGACTGTGCTGTACCTAGGAGGGGAAAGGAACTCTTCCTTCGTTCATTGTAAAAAGTATTATTAAGTATATAACTTGTTCCACATACTTTTTTTTTAGTTTACTCAACTTTTCAGTCGAAGCGTTACCTGAACTTTAAATGTTTATTTGGCCCAAACTTAGCTCCAACATGAGAAAATGTAGGCAAAAATGTAGTTAACATAAAATTATATTTTTGCTCAGACTGTCTTGTGTTCATTCATCTAGAAATTATTATTTGGGAATCTTACCTAAAGAAAATGCTGTGGAACTAATTACACGCACAGAGTGCATTTAACATACATTGTTTTCAACATACATATTTGACACACACACTGATTACATTGTGCACGTTTAATTTATATTCAACATGTTCTCACTTGGGATTTGAACTCACAACCTCTTGCTTCCCAGCATTCCTATCTTCCTGCCATGCCACCACATCTGTTCCGATAACTGATTTCACCTCTACACTTTCCACTTCAAAGTAAATCTCAGCTCTGTTAAAAGTACACTCAAGAAAAACTATTTTATTGATCATAGTGATTAAGGAGTTATTTTAAAACCAGAGTAATACCAACATTCTACAACTATACAGAAAAACCTCAACTTGCTTAAATAAGTAAATCAAATCAATGATGAGAAAACAGTCAACTTAACAGATTTTTTGATACGTACATGGTATGGCTCCGTGTAGCTCAGTTGGTAGAGCATGTCGTTTGCAACGCCAGCGTTGAGGGTTTGTTTCCCACTGGGGGACCAGTATGAAAAAGAAAATGTATGCGCTCACTAACTGTAAGTCTCTCTGGATAAGAGCGTCTGCTAAATGACTAAAAAAAAATGTACTTGGTGGTGTAGCAGGAAGATTGAAGTGTTGTGAACCAAAAGGTTGTGTGTTCAAATCCCAGGTGAGGACATGTTGAATAATAATTCATTTATAAATGAACATGTGCGATGTGTATTTCAACATTTGTTAAATATGTAAGTTGAAAACATTGCGTGTTAAAAGCACAGTGTGTGTAACCAGTTGCACAGTTTTGTTAAAAGATGCCCATATAATAATGTATAGTTGAATGAACATATGAGACAAGTTGAGCAAACACATCATTTTAAATTGACTGAATTTTCTCAAGTTGGAAAACATCTGAGGCCAACAATTGTTTTTAGTTCAGGAACAAAACGTTGAGTAAAGAAAATCAAAAGTGTGGAACCGGTTTAACAGTGTCAGAGAGAAAATACAGAGGGAGGGAGGTGAGGAGGGAGAGGGGAGGGGAGAGAAGAGAGGAGGAGAGAAGGGGTAGGAGGGAGGGAGGGGAGGAGGGGGGGGGGAGGGAGGGAGGGAGGGAGGAGGGAGGGAGGGAGGGAGGAGGAGGGAGGGAGGGGAGGGAGGAGAGGGAGAAAGAGGAGGGAGGGAGGGAGGGAGGAGGGAGGGAGGGAGGGAGGGAGGGGAGTAAGGAGGAGGGAGGGAGGGAGGGAGGGAGGGGAGGGAGGGAGGGGTGTAAGACGAGATTAAGGTGTATGTCCATGTTAGCAAAGTATTTGAAATTAAAGTAATGTAGACAAGGGAAGGAGGCACATTTCTTACATTGCCTTTAAAACAGTTGGAGGGCATGCAAGTAATATATTACGAATTATGGATTACAATAAGACACAGTAATGTATTACACATTATGGATTACAATAAGACACAGTAATATATTACCATGGATTACATAAGACAGAATATATTACACATATGGATTACAATAAGACAGTAATATTAACATTAGGGAAGGATTACAATAAGACAGTAATATATTACACATTATGGATTACAGGATAAGGTTTTATAATTACACAATATTAGGTGTATTCCTAATAAGACAGTAATATTTGACAATTAAAAGTAACATGTAGACAAGGGAAATGACAGAAACATTATGGATTACAATAAGACAGTAATAATTACACATTGGATACAATAAGCAAGTACATATTACACATTATGGATTACAATAAGAACAGTAATATTACACATTATGGATTACAATAAGACAGTAATATATTACACATTATGGATTACAATAAGACAGTAATATATTACACATTATGGATTACAATAAGACAGTAATATATTACACATTATGGATTACAATAAGACACAGTAATATATTACACATTATGGATTACAATAAGACACAGTAATATATTACACATTATGGATTACAATAACACAGTAATATATTACACATTATGGATTACAATAAGACCAGTAATATATTACACATTATGGATTACAATAAGACACAGTAATATATTACACATTATGGATTACAATAAGACACAGTAATACATTACACATTATGGATTACAATAAGACACAGTAATGTATTACACATTATGGATTACAATAAGACAGTAATATATTACACATTATGGATTACAATAAGACACAGTAATGTATTACACATTATGGATTACAATAAGACACAGTAATGTATTACACATGATGGATTACAATAAGACAGTAATATATTACACATTATGGATTACAATAACGACAGTAATACATTACACAAGGATTACAATAAGAACCCAGTATGTATTACACATTATGGATTACATTAAGCCAGTTAATATATTAACAACATTATGGATTACAATAAGACACAGTAATGTATTACACATTATGGATTACAATAAGACACAGTAATGTATTACACATGATGGACTACAATAGTGCCTCCATAACATATTATTTATCAATAGTGCCTTGTCATCCTCCATAACATATTATTTATTGAATAGCCTACTTTACATACAGTATATGATCTCTTCTTCTTCTTGTGCTGAGGACTTTTTTTTTTCTCTAGAAGATACAAGAGATAGGAAGGGCACTTGGTCGCAGGTTCAACTGTCCACAGCCCTCTCAGGACATAATGTCCCGATCTAACTTTGTTTAACGACGGCACGATTCTCGCGCTCTGGAGCGCATCGGTATCCAATGGATGAGCAGCTGCAAAACGACACACCCCTATGCATCGGGATGGCACGCCCCCAGCATGGAAACAGCTCTAGTCGACTCGGCACATTGACCTGTCACAATGCAGGAGACAGCTAGGCTACTGTAACTGGGATGGAGGATGTTCATCTGGATAAAGAAAGAAAAGTTTTCAGCATTTCATAACTGTCTAATTTCCAGAGACCGGAGAGGGATTCATACTCGACGTGTTTGCGTTTAGATTTTGGATCTAGGATGGCAATTCCGCGGAGAAGCCGGTAACATTTATTATGGGAGTTGTTTTCTATCGATAGCACACTGAGACCAAAGCTACCTCCATAATCACATAAAGGGATCAACCCGACGGAAAGTCCTTTAACCATAACATAGTTGTTATATTTGAATGTCACCAGTTACTCATTAGTGTTCCGTTTGAAAGGATATGGATCATTTCGCCGCAGAGTGCCTTGTGTCTATGTCCAGCCGGGCTATCGTTCACCCTAAAGAGAACAGAGAGTTGAAAACAGAATCAGCCTGCTATCCAAGGAACGATGGAGAAGACATGGTCAAAGACAACTCCTCTCTTTTCGTGGTGGCCAGGATTCTAGCGGATTTTAACCAGCAGCCACCCACGACTACTACCGATATTGCCGAGCAGGCAAAAATAAAAGAGGGGTGCGTGTCGCCTTCTACAGTCACAGAGGACGGGAATACAGCCACACCTATCGTCATAAGCACCGCCGGCGACCTCACACAAAGAGGCAGCAAACGTGTCAGAGGTCGATCCGAACCGGAATCGCCTCAGAAAAAGCACAAATGTCATTATTCGGGTTGTGAAAAAGTTTATGGGAAGTCGTCCCACCTCAAAGCGCACCTAAGGACACACACAGGTCAGTTCCCTTTTTTTTTAAACCACAATTGCTTTATTGATGGAAAACATTTTGTCTTATGAAAAAAAAAAAAGAACATTCAAATACATTATTTATGTGATATAAACTCCTCCGTTACTTTATTTCAGTTTCACTTGTAGCCTAGTATTATGAAGGGCTGGGTGTGAATAGTGACGAATAGTGACCCTAAATTGGATGTGGGCCAACGCATTGATGCAATGCACAACGTGTCACATAAGGTCGTACACAGTTATCTATTGCATTGACCCGTTGCGCACATGAAAAAACGCTTTTAAAAACACATTCTCTTACTATTCTGTTAACCCTCTAAACGACTCTCTCTAAAACAACAATGCTAGAGTTGCAGTGAACGAGAGAGCTGCGTTACATTGTAGCATTGTCTGCATTCACTGGCTGGTGAATAAGTTCAGCGTGTGTAGAAACCACTCAACTCGATGACCTGCTGTATAGGTGATGTAACCAGCCGGTGCAGCATAATGGATTCACGCAACTACTGAAGTATACTAACTATGGGGGATTGTTTCAGGTTTATAGAAAACACAAGAAATACATAAACATACGAAAACTCTTTGACTTTATCAGAAAACGTTTCTGAGAAAATCAAATCAATGTATTTACTGTAAGCAAGAAATCCTTTAGGAAAGGATGGATGGAGGGAGAGGGGAAAAAAAGGAAAAGGAGAGAGATAGATAACAAAGAGGGGGGAAAAGGATAAAGGAGAAAGAGAAAGAAAGAGAAGGGGAGGGGAAGAGGGGAGGGGAAAAGGGGAGAAAGAGATATATAGATAGACAGAGAGGGGAAAGAGAGAAAGAGAGAGATATGGTAAGTGTGACTCTAAGCTCTTTTTTTTTGGGGAAACCCCCCCCTATCTTTCCCTCCAAACAAATTATTTAAAGCCTTTTTCCCCTTTTTTTTAAAATTTTTTTAAAAACCCAAATTTTTCAAAAAATAAACAAAAAAAATCCAATGGGGGGGGGGGGGAAAGGAAAAAAAATAAAAAAATTTTTTAAAAAAAAGGGGGAAAAGGGGGGAAAAACGGGGGGGAAAAAGGAAAAAAAAGGGAAAGGGAAAAAAAAAGGGGGGGGGGGGGAAAAGGGGGGGGGGGAGAGAGAGGGAAAAGAGAAGAGAAAAGGAAAAAAGAAAAAAAAAAAAAAAGGGGGGGGGGGGGGGGGAAAAAAAAAAAAAAAAAAGGGGGGGAAAAAAAAAAAAAAAAGGGGGGGGGGGGGGGGGGGGGGGGAAAAAAAAAAAAAAAAAAAAAAAAAAATTTTTTTTAAAAACCCCCCCGCCCCCCTTTTTTTTTTTTTTTTGGGGGGCCCCCCCCCCTTCCCTAATCTTCCCCAAAAATTTTTTTCAACCCAGGAGGCCCCGGTTTTTTCGCCCCCCCTCCCAAAAAGCCTTTTTTTGGGAACCACAGAGACGAGGGAATCGGGAATCAGTGAAGGGGGGAAAGGACTCGGGCACAGAGAGTTAGATAAACATTCTAAAGGGCTGACCGTCGGCCGCGGAGAGCACCTACTCCCCCCAGGCCCCGCCGAAAAGGGGCGGTCTCGAGGCGGGCGGGGGGAAAAGAGGAAAAAAAAAGGAAGGGAAGTAGAAAAAAAGAAGAGGGAAGAGCGAGATGGAGAAGAGAAGAGAGAGAGAGAAGAGAGAGAGGAAGAGCGGAGAGTGGGAGAGAGAGAGAGAGAGAGAGAGAGGAGAGAGAGCGAGAGAGAGATAGGAGCGAGAGGAGGGAGAGAGAGAGGAGAGAGAGAGAGAGAGAGAGAGGAGAGAGAGAGAGAGAGAGAGAGAGAGAAGAGAGAAGAGAGAGAGAGCAAGAGAGAGGTGGGAGGGCTGAGAGAGAGAGAGAGAGAGAGAGAGAGAGGAGAGAGAGAGAGAGAGTAGGAAAAGAGAGAGAGAGAGATAGAGGAGGAGAGAGAGAGAGTAGAGAGAAGAGAGAGAGCAGGGAAGAGAGAGCGCGAGAGAGTAGAGAGAGTATATAGAGATAGATGATAGAGTAGAGAGAAGAAAAGAGAGAGAGCGAGCGTAGGAGAGATGAGTAGCGGAGGTAGGGAGGATCAGATCTCTAGATGATAGGTAGATAGCTATATAACGGATATCTAGAGAAGATTCGTCTAGAGCTCTCTCTATCTCTCTCGCTCACCTCTCTCTTCGCTCTCTCTCCTCTCTCTCTCTCTTTCTCTCTCTCCAGGCCCAGCCGCAGACACACACTCTGTCTCCCTTACAGCTGATCTGGCCAGCAACAGACTCAGCTAGCAGAGCTCAGACACAGGGAGGTTTCCCATAGGATAAGATGATTCATATCGTATCATTAGGTGGGACATATAACCTCCATAACCTTAATCCATGTTATTGCCACGTGATAAAGCAGTGTGCCAGAGCACAGACAACAGGGATAGGCCGAGGAATGCACTGAAGAAACATATAGGTTTTCAATAGGATAAGATGCTTCATATCATAACGTCATGTAGAAAACCTACTTCTTCATGACCGTCATTGAAAAGACATTTACATTTGAGTCATTTAGCAGACGCTCTTATCCAGAGCGACTTACAGGAGCAATTAGGGTTAAGTGCCTTGCTCAAGGGCACATCGACAGATTTTTTTTCACCTAGTCGGCTCGGGGCACAACGCTCTTAACCACTAAGCGACCTGCTTAGAGGGACCATGTTTAGTCCCTCTAATTAAAGGACAATATCAGAGCTGTGTGGATAGCCTTGGTCTCATTGTCCCATCCCCTGACCTCCCAAACTAGTTTCTATAGGATAAGATCTCTCATATCATATCATTAGATAGAGAACATCATGTCCTTAATCTTCATCCTCCCTCCTGAGACCCAGCAGTTCATTTTTGTCCTCTCTAATGGCCATTTGTTATGCTCCGTGTCTCTAAGGCCATACATACCGCTGTGTTAGGTCCTGTTGTACCATTTGAGAGGACATTCTGTGCTTTTCAATGACATCACACGTGTGTCTGACACCTTGATCATCTTTACTTTCTGGTTCTTCAAAGTGGCTACCATCACAATTACCATCACAATTAGCACATTTTATGTTAAGTGTGTGTCATTTTTTGTGAGGTTGATATTCAAATGGTTTCTAATAGGTAAATACCTCAGGAATAGTTTGGTGATGTGTTGATATTCAAATGGTTTCTAATAGGTAAATACCTCAGGAATAGTTTGGTGATGTTGATATTCAAATGGTTTCTAATAGGTAAATACCTCAGGAATAGTTTGGTGATGTTGATATTCAAATGGCTTCTAATAGGTAAATACCTCAGGAATAGTTTGGTGATGTTGATATTCAAATAGTTTCTAATAGGTAAATACCTCAGGAATAGTTTGGTGATGGGTTGATATTCAAATAGTTTCTAATAGGTAAATACCTCAGGAATAGTTTGGTGAGGTTGATATTCAAATGGTTTCTAATAGGTAAATACCTCAGGAATAGTTTGGTGATGTGTTGATATTCAAATGGTTTCTAATAGGTAAATACCTCAGGAATAGTTTGGTGATGTTGATATTCAAATGGTTCCTAATAGGTAAATATCTCAGGAATAGTTTGGTGAGTTTTCAGAGCAGTGTAATCATTTTGTCACATTAAATCAGACCTGTCCTCTATAAAAATCAAATCAAATCAAATCTGTACTGGGCATCAGGATGCGCTAACTATGGTTTTTTTTAACCTACTGTCCCCATTTACTGTAATGTTAAATGTTTCATATTTACTATCAACCGAGTCCTAATGGTCACTGAGGATAGAGCAAATTATGAGGAGGTATTAAGGGAGAGTATCAGAGATGTGTAGATGGATAGGGGTTAGGGTTAAAGGGAGAGTATCAGAGATGTGTAGATGGATAGGGTTTAGGTTTAAAGGAGAGTATCAGAGATGTCTAGATGGATAGGGTTTAGGGTTAAAGGAGAGTATCAGAGATGTGTAGATGGATAGGGTTTAGGGTTAAAGGAGAGTATCAGAGATGTGTAGATGGATAGGGGTTAGGGTTAAAGGAGAGTATCAGAGATGTGTAGATGGATAGGGTTTAGGGTTAAAGGAGAGTATCAGAGATGTGTAGATGGATAGGGTTTAGGGTTAAAGGAGAGTATCAGAGATGTGTAGATGGATAGGGTTTAGGGTTAAAGGAGAGTATCAGAGATGTGTAGATGGATAGGGTTTAGGGTTAAAGGAGAGTATCAGAGATGTGTAGATGGATAGGGTTTAGGGTTAAAGGAGAGTATCAGAGATGTGTAGATGGATAGGGTTTAGGGTTTAAAGGAAGAGTACTCCAGAGATGTGTAGATGGATAGGGTTTAGGGTTAAAGGAGAGTATCAGAGATGTGTAGATGGATAGGGGTTAGGGTTAAAGGAGAGTATCAGAGATGTGTAGATGGATAGGGGTAGTTATCTTCTCAGTGCCCCATCCCCTGACCCCATAACTAGTCTAGGAGCCTCGCCCTGAATAGTCATAGGCTGCGTCCCCAAATGGCACCCTATTCCCTATTTAGTGCACTACCTTTGACCAGGGCCCGTAGTGCACTATAAAGGGTATTAGGGTGCTATTTGGCATGCAGGCATAGACAGCATAACACTGACAGCCAACAGCAACAATACAACGATGGAAATATACAGTTGTTATATAGCCTTAATTAGTATGTTGGTGAATGAAATTAGCTTTTTCCAACTGATTCCTCTGTTTCACAGCTGGAAGGATTTGGTGTGTTGGCTCCTTTCATGTTACGTGTAACAAGTCTCTACAATGAGTTTATCTTTGATGATCAAAGACTTCATAGCAACCAGAAGCCTTTGTAGATTACGACTACAGAAGACAAAAATGAACCTGATGCACCATGAATGTTATGCTAGGATTTGCGATAGATACATTCCTAGACAGATACAATTGATTCATTTGTTGTCATTTGCTTTCTTTGGACGGTGACCAAATGACTACTATCAGATCAGAACATCAGAACAAGGCTGTGATGTAAGGATCTCCTGGCTAGAAATCCTCCTGGCCAGAAATCCTCCTGGCCTTGGTACTGAACAAACAACACAAAGTGATTCTAGACCTGCCATCATCATACGATGCAGAAAAAGGGGCTTCAATATCCTAAACATAGCACTTTAATGAATAATATTCATATTCTGTGAGTTGGGTGTGAACTCC